GATAGTTGGTTATTCAACTACTATTGTTGAATTATCTATTTCTCCCCTCGTTTCTGTCAGCTTTTGCTTGAAGCACTTTGGTATCTATGTGTCTATTATATATTCCTGATGAACTAAATCTCTTATCACTATGGAATGTATCTTTTTATCTCTAACTTGTTTATTTAAAGTCTATTATTTCTATTTTTATATTTAAAGGCTAATGTATAACCACTCTACCTTCTAGTGGTAGACGTTTGCATGATATACATCTGTATCTATATGTATGCGCGCGCGCGCGCGCACACACACACACACACACACACATACATATATATATATAGCACCATTTTTTATAGCCAACCTATCTGTACCTTTGAATCCAAAGTTTGTCTCCTGGGCTGGGCACAGTGGCTCACACCTGTAACCCCAGCACTTTGGGAGGCCAAGGCGGGCGGATCACCTAAGGTCAGGAGTTTGAGACCAGGTTGGCCAACATGGTAAAACCCCATCTCTACTAAAAATACAAAAATGAGCCGGGTGTCTTGGCACACGCCTGTAATCTCAGCTATTCAGGAGGCTGAAGCAGGAGAATTGCTTGAACCCTGGAAACAGAGGTTGCAGTGAGCCGAGATCACGTCACTGCATTCCAGCCTAAAAAAAGTGTGTCTCCTGTAGACGGCATGTACCGGCATACTACGTAATGCTACACTCGGCTGTATTGCACTTTGCAGGTGTTGCATTTTTTTTCTTTGAATGTTTGCAGCCACCCTGAGTGAAGCAAGCCTGTCAGTGTCATTTTCCCAAAAGCAGGCACTCACTGCACATCTCTGTGTCACATTTTGATAATTCTCACAACATTTCAGACTTTGTCATTATGATTACATCTGTTAATGCTCATCTGTGGCCAGTGATCTTTGACATAACCATTGTAATTATTTGAGGGTGCCATGGACCACAGCCACACAAAAAGTTGAACTGAATCAATAAATGTGGCGTGTGTTCTGACTACTCCCCTGATCAGCCATTCCTCCATCTCTCTCCCTTTCCTCAGGCCTCCGTATTCTCTGAGACATATCAATCTTGAAATTAGGCCAATTAGTAACCTTACAAAGGCCCCTTAGTGTACAAGAGAAAGGAGAGTCACGCATCACTCACTTTAAATTAAAAGCCATAAATGATTAAGCTGGTTGAGAAAGACATGCAAAAGCAGAGATAGGCCAAAAGCTAGACCTCTTCTTGCACAGAGAAACAGAATTAGAAGTGGAGCCTGAAGATGTGACTGAAAAGCTACAGTCTCATAATAAAACTTGGACAGATGAGTAGTTGCTTCTTATGGATGAGCAAAGAAAGCAGTTTCTCGAGATGAACACTATTCCTGGCGAAGATGCTGTAAACACGGTTGAAATTACAACAAAGAATACAGAATATTACACAAACTTATTTGATAATACGGTGGCAGAGTTTGAGAGGATTGCCTCCGATTTTGAAAGAAGTTCAATGTAAGTGTTGTGAGACAGTGTCACATGCTACAGAGAAATTTTTCTTAAAGGAAAGCATCAACTGATGTGGCAAACTTCATCGTTCTTATTTGAAGAAATTGCCAAAGCCACTCCAAACCTCAGCCAGTCTTCACACTGAAAAGTCAGCAGCCATCAATATCAAGGTGAGACCTTCCACCCGCAAAAAGATTATGACTTGCTGAAGGGTCAGGTGATTGGTATTTTTTAGCAATAAGGTATTTTTTAATTAAGGTATGTATATTTTTAGACATAATGCTCCTGCACACTTAATAAACTACGGTATAGTGTAAACATAACATATATGCACTGGGAAACCAAAACATTGTGTGATGCACTCTATTGCAATATTTGCTGTATGGAGGTGATCTGGAATCAAACTCACAATATCTCCAAGGTACTCAGGTAGCTAAAGCTATCATGTGGCTCATACCTGTAATCCCAGCACTTTGGGAGGCCAAGGCAGGCAGATCACTTGAGGTCAGGAGTTCAAGATCGGCCTGGCCAACATACTGAAACCCCTTCTCCACTAAAAGTACAAAAGTTAGCCAGGCATGGTGGTGGGCACCTATGGTCCTAGCTCAGGAGGCTGAGGCTGGAGAATCCCTTAAACCCAGGAGGCAGAGGTTGTAGTGAGCTGCGATCGCACCACTGCACTCCAGCCTGGGGAACAGCAGAGACTCCATCTCTAAATCTCTCTCTCTCTCTCTATCCATCAATCTCTCTCTCTCTCTCTCTCTCTCTCTCTCTGTCATGCAGGCTGAAAAATAAGGTTCCTGAACAACAACAAAATAGGGAATAAATGACAATATTGACTTGGAGGAAGTTTCCCATCACATTGCTGAGTGAATAAACATGACAGAATGAAAAAAAATGGAAAGCATGTTCACCAAAACGTAAATAGTAGTTACTCTGACAAATTTGGGATGACTTTTACTTCCCATATAAATTTTTTGGTATTGCTTTAATTGTTCACTTTGGAAATTTTTTGTTTATAATCAATAGATTACAATATAGTTTTTTAACGCCTTTTTTTTTTTTTTTTTTTTGAGATAAGGCCTGGCTCT